GTAGGAACATATTAGTGAGGTCAAAATTAACCATGAACATCTAACTGAAACACAAACAAGCTACATAATGGTTATATCCCTCATTTATTTGTCCAAATGAATGACTTTTCTCCAGCTTCAAACATATGTGACTGTGCGTGTTTGCTACTACCATTGCCAGCATTTTTACCTCAAAAATATGACAGGAAAACTTCAAATAAGTTCTGACTGGCAACAAACACAGCAACCTGTGATGAGATTTCAGATGCCCATAGAAAGAAAACCATACTGACTGTACCTCACTGCATGGATAAGACCTGGTTAGAATGACAAGGAAATGCATAGCAAAACATAATGATCAATGCTTTGGCCCATAGTATTCAGATACCTACCAACTGTCCACTCAACTTTCAGTTCAGTTAAACATGCCAAAAATGGCACAGCCCTTGCTCTATGTATGGGTGTGTGTCTGTGTGTGTGCATGTGTGTGAAAGTGTGTGTACGTGCATGTGTGTGAAAATGCATGTGTTTATGTGTGTGTGTGTGCATGTGTAGGCCAGAGGATGAACACCTTTTGCTGAGAACACCACCCATCTTATTTTGAAACAGCTCTCACTGGCGTGCATTTTATCAGTTAGGTGAGGCTGGCGGGATGGCTAGATCTCCATAGATCTGGATTTTTATGTTGGTGCTGGGGGATGAACTCAAGTCATCAGGCTTCCAGGGCAAACACCAAACTGAACCAACTCCCCAGCCAAGCTTCTATTCTCCCAAGAAAAATAAAAACTGTTTAAAGAATGGACAGTCTAGGAGTGAGTTCTAGGAGTGAGTGAGTCCACCTGCCCCAGCTAGAGACAACCACACAGAGTCTCAGCACCTGACAGTCTTGCTCATCCTAGAACAGTCAGAAGCAATGATGAAAGAACAGTATCTTGTCAGGATACAGGGAAAGCTGGACCATTTGGTGAGATTCTGTGGCTTTCTCCCACTAAACCACCTCTTCCTTCTTCCTCTTGGACCCCTCCTCCACTGTTTTCTTCTTGCTGAAGCTAAACAAGTATGAGAAGCATTCTTCATGTATGATCTGTTACCTAGAAGTTTCTACTCCATTTAAAAAGGTATAAAGCAGGGTCACCGGGGAGGTCGTGTTGTGTAAGTACTTACCTTGCAAGCATGAGGACTAGAGTTCAAATACCCAGAAACCCAAGTCAATACCACAGTCTACATGTAATTTGGGGTGTCATGGAGAGACCCTGCCTTAATGCAGAAGACTCAGGAGTGTATCTAAGGATGATTCCAGCTCTGAATTGATCCTCCTGCTTCTGTCTCCCAAGTGCAACAACACCCAGCCATGGTAGTAGTAGTTGTTACTTTGTTTGTTTGTTTGTTTTAATGTCAAGAAGAGAAAAAACTCTCTTGGAACAAAATATTGAAACTGGTTCACCATATTGCCTGATTTTCTGACACTTTGCATAGACCCTGGCATGGCTAGGGAATATGTTATGGACAATGTAAGAGTAAGAAAAGACACAGGCTGCCCGGCTGACAGGATGTGGAAGCAGGAAGATCTATGAGTTTGATGAGGGCTTCTTCTCCAAAGTACGTTAACTGAGGTTCTATCTCAAGAAAGGGGACACACACACACACACACACACACACACACACACACACGCACGCACGCACGCACGCACGCACGCACACACACACACACCACACCACACCACACCACTCCATACCACACAACAAAATAAGAACAAGCAAAAACAAAATATGGATTGTCAATGTGAAAACCTTGTGCCAGTAACAGTAAAATTCTCTACAAGCCTTTGTCCAGTAGAGTCTATTCCCTCCACAAATTATCACAGCTTTCTTAGAATGGCTCTTTTTGTGATCAACAAAGAGAAACCAAACCAATGTGCAATGAGACAGCATTTACATGGTCAAAGATATGGTGCTAATTAGAAGTGACCAGATTCACATGGTCCACTTTGACTAGTTCTGGGGATGTGTATTTATTTTTTCCAAAGTCAGGAGAAGTAGAGAAATATATATATATACATATATATATATATATATGTGGAGGGAGGGAGGGAGGCAGGGAAGGAGACAGGGAGGGAAGGAGGCAGGGAGGGAGGGAGGAAAGAAGAAGAATGTTGACAAAAGATATGTTACAGATGTGTTTCCTCTGATATACAGTATGGGAGGATATTGGGAAGATAATGCCGGACCATTGGGACACTTGCCAGCACAGGAGAGTAAAGAAAGACAAGGGGTTTGTCGGTGTGCTGGACCGTGCAGACACACTATAATTTCCCCCACTTCGCCAAGTTTTTTTTCCTCTCCAACACACAGGTTAGCTGGAACCCTTTTGTTTGTTTCAACTGGTATTTTTGGTGTGAATGAGCATGTTCCTTTGTATGTGTTCTTGTAAGTGTATGTGCACATATTCAGGTGTTTGTATATTTGCATGTGTGTACCCACCCATGCATACATGCACAAATAAGTGAGAGAACATAGACTTAGGTGCTCACATGTATAGAGGAAGCTGTATTACTGAATCCTATACATACATACATACATACATACATCATACATACATACATACATACATATCCATCAGGATTCCCTTGTCTGCACCTCACCAGTTCTAGGGTTACAGGCCTCTGTGCTGCCAAGCTTTTTGTGGGTTCTGGTGGAATAAACATGCTTGTACAGTGAGCATCTTACTGACTCAGCCATCTCCCAGCTTCCTCAACTGATAACAATTATTTGACCCAAAAATTCTAATCTGGGATCTGGAGAGATGGATCGGCAACTGAGAACTCGTGCTGCTCTTCCAAAGGACCTGAGTTCAGTTCCCAGAACTCAGGCTGGACAGCTTGCAGTCACCTGTAACCTTGGCTGCAGAGGTTCTTAATCCTTCTGCTGGCCTCTAAGGGTGTCTGTCCCCATGTGCAAAACCACACCATGACACGTGATTAATAATAAAAAGAAATCTTTTTAACAACCTAATTTCAAGCATCAAGCCTAAATAGACTTCTGGGGCCAGCTTTTGGTGGAGACAGAAGTTATAGGCATTTATTCCTGTGTGTTCTTTTACCCACAAAGTCAACCATTCCCTTGCACTTCTGGGCCTACACTTAGATATCCTCTCACAGGGACATGCCTTAATTAGTAGAAATGCCAGGCAGTATGACTAAGAATTATTTTTTAGAACAGTCAAGGCCTCATTTTTCTGTAAGTCTGCTTTTCAATGAAAACCTCCTCCATTCCCCTCAGGCAGAACATTGTGGTATACTTGGCGAATCGAATAAAAGATACCTGTTAAAGCAAGGAAGGTTTTCATCAAGGCTGTTGAAATCTGATTTCATCTCAGACTCAAGAACTAATGTTGTTTTTTGTTTAACTAGATTTTGCCTGTCAATTTCCAGACCTGCTGTTCCGTCCGCCTGTATGGACTGCTGTGGTCAACACGGGGGTTGTAGTGGCAAATTTTATTATGAGTTGGTAATTGAATTGAACAGGTTTACATTTGAATAGATTTACTACATCATGATCTCTGACATACTGCACGGGACTCAAATCCCTGCACATCCATAAAGATACATTTAAGAGGGTATCACCCTTTCCAGGCTTAGGGAGTGAGACTTGAGCCATGGAGATGCCTAAGAATAATTGTGAATTTATATGCAGGGTGCACTGCAATATTTCACTGTATTCTTTAAGCATAGAAGAACAGAAAACAATATTCCATATTTACTCACACCCACCGTATTTCTGCTTTCGGAGAGAATGGTAACAGGCTCAGAGAAATGATATTTTGCCATCCTTGTGTTCATAAGGAAGTAAATGGGAAATAAATTATTATTTGCGCACGGCAGCAACAGCGGTACTTCCCTTGAAAACACAGTCACTAAAGGCTCGATAGCAAGTGCTGAAGAGGTGCAAATCACAGATAAGCAACAATGTTTAATTAAACGCAGCTCACACATCTGCCTTCACTCTCACCTCCCTTCAGACCCTCTCTTAGAGACTGTGAGAAATGCAATCTAAGAAAAAAGACGTGTCCCTGTTCATCTTTAAAGTCAAAACAGCAATCAGATGAGCAAATTACAGTATTGAAATCAAATTAATCAAAAACTCCCATCTTCCTAGAAATGGAGGCGTGTATCTATGCACTTCACTGTTAGAAAACAGAATGGGAATCTGAGGTGTACTCACACAACGCTCTCATTGATATGTGACTTCCATTGTATTTAAACAACTATGCATTAATGATGCCCACTATTCTTGTTTACAAATATGTGAACTTAAAATGTAAAGAGGAAAGGGGGAAGGATTGGGATCTACAGTGACAATTACATAAATTCGGATGTAGCAGAATTTACACATTTCTATGTGTAGTTAACCTAACTTTAGTTTCAAGCATCCTTCCATGAAGACATGTTCATGTTGGTGCTTTAGGAAAACAGCATATTCACTTAAAACTCCAATGGGCTTTCTAAATACAAAGAGGGTAGACCATGTGCAGTATGTGCAGTATGTATGTCTACAAAATAAGCATGCACAGAAATTCATTTTCTAAAAAAAGAAAAAAAAATCCTAGAGGCAGGTTTCTCAGAGAAAAGGAGGAAAATTTACTCTACACTATTCCCAAGCACAGAAGTCGAAGTGCCAAAGCCTGAGTGTATTCTATCAGAGAAAGCATGCACTAAAGGTAAGTTTGGAAAGTAACACAGGAGGCCTTAAGAGAGGGGTGCAGTGTGAGGAAGCCTCTTGGTGTGTCTTCATCTTCTTCTCTCTGCGAATGGTAAACATCAAAGGGCCGGGCCTGTTAGCACAGTTCAGTTCACATCACAGGCTCCTACTTCTGGTTGGTGTCAATCTGCTAGCCATGAGGTACTAGCAACTCTTTAAGAGTCTTCTGCCATCAGATTTGGGTACCTACTGACCTGCCTTCTCTGGTTGCTATAGAACTGGTCTTGATCCCCATTGTGACTGCCACCCCCAGAACAACTTACCTTCTTTCAGCATGCCCACTTTCAGACACTTCATGAAACGGCAGGCCTGGCAGGATTTGCGTCTGCGCTTTGTGATTTCACATTCATTTGTGGCCGGGCAGCTGTACTCTATGTTACCTGTAGCACAGAGTGTGAGGGGAAAAAGGTAGTCAGATTGACAGGGCAGGAGAGACAGTGACATACCAAAGAAAAGGTTAACTTGGCACCCCCAACCCCCAAACTCATGTGAGAGTCATCTTAAATGTGACATGTGCCTGGAAGCCATATATGCTACTGTAGTCATAGAATACATCTCTATGGAGCAGCTTGACAAAAATTAGCACTTCCAGAGAGGCTGAGGTAGGAGGACTGCCACAAGTCCAAAGCAGCCAGGTCAACGTAATAAGTCATAGGTCAGCAAGGGCTACACAGTGAGGCGTTTTCCAGAAAGGGGGGCTGATATGATCATAATGTACTTGAAAATTTCTTTTCTATTAGAACATTCTGGAAGATTTTTATTACATATGGGATTGGGGCAACAAACAATCACTAAGCAAAGTTGACCCTCACAAAGTACAGTCTTTTAGAAGAGATTCCAAAGCAGTCTGTGCTCATATAAACATAAACAGCAGAGGCTGGAAAGATGGGGCAGTGGTTATGAGCACCCATGCTCTTGCGCTGAATAGAGGTTTGAATCCCAGCACCCACATGAGGCTGCTCACAACTGTCTGTAACTCCAGTTATAGAGATTCCCATGCTCTTTTCTGAACTCTGCTGGCATGCACAGACAGCGGGCACACACAGCTACACATAAAATAAAATAACTAAATTTAAAGAAAACTAACAACTTGTCACATTTGGATCACAGCCTATGAAGACTTGGGCTTTGGAACATGCTGCTTGTCCTCCAGCTGTATAACCCTCTCAGGGCTCAGTGATCTAAAGTTTAATGTGAGGCATTTCTGTTAGCACCTGGCCTGCAGGGCAGCAACATAATTCTTCTGCCATTGTGGCCAGGTTGAGCTTTCCAGGATGCTGAGGGTGAGTGAGGATGGTAGGAATAATGGCTGCCATGGCTATTGCCACCTTCGTGGTGCTTGTTACATTATTTGCATAATTAATTCCAAACACCATGGAATTTCGATGACAACAAACTGCTCAGTTACATTTTTAATAATAGACTGTACCGTTTTCAGCTACATGTAACAATCTGAAGTGAAAAACATGTAACTGGCAGATCTGAACTTTCAGTGTTTCTCTGAGACAATGAAGTGTGTGGGGTGTGCTCCAGGCAGCCTTGTAAAGAGGCTGCCTTGAAAAATAAAGGCTGTCTCCACTGTCAGGCCCTTCTCGGAGTGCTTGAAGGTCTCCGGCTACTTCCTAACCCTTTCCCCTCGTGATTAAGTGCATTAGTAACCTAATGAAAATGCATCCTGCTTATTGCCCTCTTGGGAAGGGGGAGGTCATCGTTCCGAACGCATAAATTGTCATAGGAGACGGTCCGGGCATAATTGCAATTTTGCTGTTCCACGCTTGCTGTACTCAGGGTCCATCGAGTCCCCTGAAACATTCGCAGATTCAAGTAATTAGCATAGGAGGCTGCCTGGGACCACAGCATTGATGAAATATTTCAGAGTTAATCACACTTTGTAAACACTGATTTATATTGACTACCTTTCTGTGGACTGATGCCCCCTCATTAAATATCACATTAGTGCTTTGCAGGATTGCTCCTCCACTCCTCTACTCGCCAGCTGCTAATTCACCAGGAAGTGATACCTAGCCACTTGGAACTACAGAGAATTGGTTAAGTATGCATGACTAAAAAAAAAAAAAAAAAAAAAAAAAAAAAAGGCTTGAGCATTATAACCTGAGGTAAATTGACTGGCTAAATTAGCATTCTAATTCAAAGCAACTACCTTTAAAATGAGGTTAGATAATAGAAGTGATATCAACTGCATTAACAAGAATATTCACCATCACCTTTTTCAGAAATATCATTCAGGGGCTGGCGAGATAGTTCATCTGGGAAAGTGCGAGCTGCTGAAGGCTAACCATGTGAGTTCAATCCCCAGAACTTGTGTGAAGGCAGAAGGGAAGACCCAATTCCATGGCATTGTCTGCTGCTCTTCACACAGGAACACCAGCATCCATTCTCCTTATATTAATTAATAAACATTTTTTTAAGAGAAATCTTACTCAGGAAAGGGACTGGAAAAACAGATTAGCAGTAAAAGCTGTATAGGCCTGAAAACCTGACTTTCATCACTGCATACCATAGTGGAAAAAACATGCACACGTATGCACACATGTGCACACACCCACACAAATAATAATAATAATAATAATAATAATAATAATAATAATAATAGTGATGATGACGATTGATAGTAATGATGATGGAGACAGGCAATGATAAGGTAAATGAACTTGGTCAAAGCTGAGAATAAAGCAATTTGGAATCTGAGCAGTTTCTTTCAAATGTCCACAGGATTCTATTCTGTATCTAAAAAAGCATGCTATGATTCTGTTTATTTCTGTTTGGTTTTGGTGTGGTACTATGAAAAGAACCTAGGACCTTGCAAAAGTATACCAGGATAGCACTGGGCTATCCCCAGCTCTGTTGAATTTTATTTTAAAACAGTGTCACGAAGTGCCCTCAGCTGGCCTGAAACTCATACTCTTTCTGCCCCAGCCTCTTGATTAGCTACCACCCTACCCTGGCTGTCATCTGGTAATTTAGTGTTCAGCTACCAGATCCTTATAGTCTCTTTGATTTTTCTCTGTATTTCTTTCAAAGGAAACTAACATTTTCTATTTTAGAGAGAACTGAACAATAATTACAAAGACGGGAAAAACTCTTCAAAAAAATCATCTCTGGCCATTTCACGACTTTAAAACTAGTGTGGTGTAACGCATGGTTCACCCCATGTATTGAGGCATAAGCATTCACTCCATGTCTTCAACAGTACAAATGCCTGCCACACACAAGTGTGTCTTCCCATCCCTCTTGAGTGATGGCATACTCATTCCTCATGGCAGGACACTTTGAAGAGGGAGTCTGTCAGCAGGTGCAGGCTCACATCTGGACCTGGACCTGCTCCTGATCACTCACCTCCATCCTCCTTGCTTTAGTCTTGGATGGGGGCCATTCACACTGTCTCTTCCCATGACTGCCTTGATCATGTCTCTGCCCTAATTTAAAATAAAAGAGCTAAGCTTGGTGCTCAAACCTACACATCCCAGCACTTGGGAAGGAAGAATAGGCATGGGGCCCTTTCGGACCCTGTGATAAGTAATAGAATAATTAAAATAAAATCACTTCTCTAACATATATAAGGTCTATGTTTGACACCCAGCACCATACATATGTGCATATATGCACACACACACACACACACAAACACACACACACACATCATTGCTGCCCTTCTGAATTAAATATAAGGTATTCAACAGCCACACAAGGTCCTTTCTCAATCTAACTCTCATCTACCTTTCCAGCAATATAACAATTATTACCTCACATGAACTTCCAGATGCAGCCAATTTGATTTATTCATTTTTTTCCTGCATGTCCTTCAAGGCTCCCCTCTGAGAATGATCTATTTCTGCCCCTCTTTTCTTCTTAAAATTATTTCCAAGGCTCAGTGTTCAACTCCAATTCCATTCCAATCATTTATGAAAACTTCTCAGACCATTCTAGAAGGAAATGACTCCTGGGATGCCTATCTTTTGAGATACTGTCATCTAATACAGACAGGTCGCATTTTGTTAGTCCTTTGCATATGATTGCCACCTACTAGACAGGAAGACAGTGGAGGACAGGTGCCAATCCTTGGGAAGTATGAACATCTCCAACCAAGGGCTGTGGTGACTCAGGAGGAGAGGGAGGCAAGGTTAGTGGTGGTAGCCTATGCCTGTAACCCCAGAATTGGAGAGTTAGAGACAGGCAGATCTCTGAAGCTCACTGGACAGCCAGTCTGGCCTAATTGGGAAGCCACAGGTCACTGAGAAAACTTTTCTTAAAAGAAGAAAAAGTGGACAGTGTCTGAAGAGTTGTTCCCAAGGTTGACCCTCTGTCCCCCTGGGGAATATGTACATGCACACACACACACACACACACACACACACACACACACACACACACACACACACACGTACGAATGCATGCATCTATGCTCACAGAGATTATGCTTCTTCGCACAGGGAAAAATGTCTGAGCTATACTTTGAGTAAAATGGATCAGTAATGACATTGATGTGATGGAGTCTTCCCCAAACTACAGGGAATACAAAGATGTCTTTATGATAACAGCCCACAGTGGTGGCAGGAGTGCAGCTCAGCAGGGAGACCCTGGTGCAACTCCACCACCACTCAAAAACCATGCTTGACACCTAGAGGTATAGGCAAGAGGATCAGAGGTTCAAGGTCAGGCTGAGATACAATGAGCCTTTATTAAAAACCTTCTTTTGTCACAAAGCAGTCCTACATGTTTATATCATTCATAATACATATATATGTATATATACATACATAAATACATACATATATACATATGTATGTATTTCAGTATATATCCAATTTAGACAGAAGGTGTTTACAATGGATTGCGTATCCTTGTGAACACTCTGTCTTCAGGAAGTCTTAATACATGAAGATGATAACCTTGATCTCACTAAGTAACTCTGGCTTTATATTTGGGAAAACAAATCAGTATCACTCTCTAAATAACTTATTGCTAGAGGGAAACCTAATTTTCAAGGCCTCCCATGGAGTTCCTCACATAGCTGTTGTTGTCCGTGGACACCCAGCCACCAACATCTTTGATCCATGTTATAGGCTCCGGAGACTGTACCCTTCAAATACTTTGCCTGTTGTTTTTAGGAGTCAAGTGAAAGGAGGTGTTCTATTTGAAATGTGCCACCCCAGGTACCCAGATAACAATATAGTACACACTTTGGTCATGGTTCAAAGACTTTCTTCCCACTGGACCACATACAGCCTCTCTATGGGACACTTGTTTTCCTCCAAGTCACTAAAAGTAGAAACTGGAAAAAAAAAATAATAAAATGCTTTCGCTCTCCAATGTGTTTGGGTACCTGGACCATTTATCCAGGATAAAAACAGCCAGGGGA